GTCAGCCGGGGCTATCTCCAGCCCGCTGGCCTCGCCGAAGACAAGCCCGCCGGATGCTCAGAACCAAGCCGCCCAGATGTTAAGCTTGCCAGCCGCACCAAGTCAAGTTCGCCGGCCCCGCATATGGCAAGCCCACCAGACATTAATGTGGCAAGCCCGTCGGCGGTTCCTATGTTAAGCCCGCCAGCCGGGGATATCTCCAGCCCACTGACCAGGCCGATAGCAGGCCTGTCAGCCGGGGCTATCTCCAGCCCGCTGGCCACGCATATGGCAAGCCCACCGGACATTAATGTGGCAAGCGCCCCAGACGTTCAGCACTCCAGTTTGCCGATCATGCCTTTTCCCCCCGATCCAGAAGAGGATGCTAACGGCGAGGAGAAGGGTGTCGGCTCCAGCCCCAGAGCTCACTCCAGTGTTGGCCCAGAACACGCCTTTTCCCCCTGATCCAGAAGAGGATGCTAGGGGCGAGGAGAAGGGTGTCGGCTTCAGCCCCAGAGCTCGCTCCAGTGTCGGCCCAGGCCCCAGAGCCTAGCCCACGGAGGGCTCCAGAACCCCAGTCAAGCCCAGGAAGGGCTCCCGATCCCCAGTTCCACCCAGGAAGGGCTCCCGATCCCCTGTCGAGCCTATGAATGGCTCCCGATCCCCTGTCGAGCCTAGGAATGGCTCCTGATCCCCAGTTCAGCCCAGGAAGGGCTCCCGATCCCCCGTCGAGCCTAGGAAGGGCTCCCGATCCCCAGTTCCGCCCAGGAAGGGCTCCCGATCCCCCATCGAGCCTAGGAAGAGCTCCCGATCCCCAGTTCAGCCCAGGAAGGGCTCCCGAACCCCAGTTCAGCCCAGGAAGGGCTCCAGATCCCCCGCAGAGCCTAGGAAGGGCTCCCAATCCCCAGTTCAGCCCAGGAAGGGCTCCCAATCCCCAGTTCAGCCCAGGAAGGGCTCCCGGTTCCCGAGTATAGCCCACGAAGGGCTCCCGATCCCCCGCAGAGCCTAGGAAGGGCTCCCGATCCCCAGTTCAGCCCAG